TCAGGTTCTGTTTGTTGTCATGTTAAAACGAGCACCTGGTGACCCCGACCGCAAACAAACCGGCACAAAGCCTGTGACCCAGAGGTCAGAAGGTCATGAATCGCATCAGCTTTAGGTTTCAGGTCATTTCTGTCATCCTGGGTCAACATGAAACTGAAATGAGTTTTTAATATAAGAACTGGATGAATTAATGCTTCATAATCCAATATTCACATTTCACACGATTTTGTTATTTCCTTTGAAGCACTTAAAAAAAATCCTGCTGGTTTTTGTCAGTAAATTAATGTTTTCTGATGTCTGGAAAACGAGCGACTTGAAAACCTCCAAATGTAACGACACCAATCAGGCTGTTACCTAGCAACCCCAGCAGAACTCCGCCCGTTACCTAGCAACCCCAGCAGAACTCCGCCCGTTACCTAGCAACCCCAGCAGAACTCCGTTTCATTTGATCAGCTGGTTTTCCTGCTCTATGTTCTGTACAATGGCTGCTGGAAAAGACGAGTTTCGTTGTCGACTCACCATCCAGAAACCACTGGCTGTGTTCTGGTTGGTTGTAAAGGAAGCTCCACTTCTGCTTTTCCAACACGTATGGCTGTATAACTGCATCTGTTTGCATCAGTTTTCACATGCGAATGTAAATGTGAAAATGTTGCTATGGGGGCGTGGCCAACAGTAGGGGGCGTGGCCAGCATCAGATTTTTTGGATTTAAAGTGACAGAGGCCCTAAAACCAATCAGAACAGAACTGAGCAGAGTGAAATCTCATGATATGATTAGATAATAGTTATGATTTAAACATGATTTTAGTTTTTTCTATCACTCTACAAATTCTGGTTGTTTTTCAAATTCTTTTTGTCCTTTAATATTAAAGATTATGAATAACTTTCTACAGAAACCAACATTCAGTCATCAATTTTGACATTTGTTGTGAAATGTGATTTTGTTGCAGTGAGGAAAGGTCGTCCTTTAAGTCGCGTCCATCAGCTGCTGATCTGGAATCATCCACCGACGTCTGGGTTTGAAGTCGACTGATGGATTCATATTAAAACGAATACTTTGAAGAATGTGAACTATTTTTCCTGCAGCGTCAGATGGCCGGTGGGAACAAACCGAACAACCTGCTGAGTGACACATCTCATCCGTCATCCTGAGCGGCGGCGGCTCACCTTCAGCTGAGGCCCAGAGGCTCCAGGCTGGAGCTCTCAACATGGCCGACAGGTAAAAGAGAAAACACTGAGAACCCAGGGCTCTACCTTTAGAGCATTGATGACTTAACCCTAACCTCTAACCTCTGACCCCTCACCCTAACCTCTAACCTCTGACCCCTCACCCTAACCTCTAACCCTAACTTTTCCTACTACTCTACAGTTATAACATATCATAAACATTACCTCTGCTAACGCTAACACGCTACGCTAATATGGTGTTTAGAAGCTAAAGCTAAAACTTTAACTCCTCAAATAAAATTTTATTAGAAGTAATAAGAAATTAATGAAGTGATTGGAAATTATACATAAATGTTTTCCGTTGTTATTTGTTTGTTGGTTTTTATAACTTCATAGTTCAATATGCTTCTTTTTACGGTCAAATAATAAAATTCCCTTTTTGTTTCAGCAACCAGAACATTTAAATTTAAATGAAACATTTTGAGTTTGAAATAAATCAGATGGACTAAATGTCAACTTCTTACTGAAACTGTATGGTTTATCATGTCAACTGTCCTTTTTGATAAAACACGCGATCACACATGAACAAACAGAAAAACGACAGAAAAAAGTCAATTTCGAATTCAACTCATTATTGCAGTTAAACTGGTACAGATTAACAGATTACAAAGCTCATGGCACAGTCACTGAAAAGAGAAATGAGGCGTGTATGTACAACAAGGAACGAAAAGTTAGCGGCTCCGCTAATAGAGCCCATGGACACAAAATCAGGATCCTGTAATTTGGGAGACGAGTATACAACAAAGAAAATATGAAATGAAAAACTTCAAAAATGACATTAATTAAAATACATTTAGCAGATTGGATCCTAGTGTTTGACGCAGGTCCAAGTCAGAGCAGCTCAATCTGAACGGCAAACACTAAAAACTGCGACTGCAGCCGCCTCCATCTCCATCCCATCCGTTTTTGGGGAAATAGCTGATGAGATTGTTGGCAGAGATCTGCTCCCTTATATTAGCAATACTCCAATCTTCTCCTAATATCATCATCATATATTAATCTCCAATCAGGTGCTGAGGCTTTCCCATTCATTCAACATTTACTCGCCTTCTTCCAGATAACAAAGCAGTCATAGTCGACCCACAGCCACCAGGGGCGCCGAGCTGATTTACACTCTTTGGCTACCATAGTTGAAATTTGTCCAAAAATTTGTTCAACCATCCAAAAAACGTTTCCACAGATGTGTTCAACTCGCTTTTACAGTTTAAAAAAAATATTCAAACGCTGTGATTTTTGGCAGGAATCTATGGGTTGTTGGCGAGTCGGCTCTGACCGAACCAGAACCAAACGTTGGCACCGGTAAAAATCAGCGCTGGCTGTCGTGTCTCTAGCGTTTTCACGGAAACCGGCTGATGACTATTTACACACATTTCTGCAACTGAAGACGTAAAAACGCTGCGAGGGAAAAACAAACGGGAATATTTTCACTTCCGATTCCTGGACTGGAAACCCTTAAAACGTAGTAAAAATTAAAAAATCAAACAAATGAGTTCTGAACTTTTGATCTCACTACATTTTCAATGTGACACATTTTTTTCAACACACACTGAATTGTACTTTTTTTTATCTTTTAACAAAAAAACAAAAAAGAAAAACGGTACAACATATTTCTAAAACACAAAATAACAACCGTCTACATGTAAAAATATAACTTTTACATACACAATTTCAAAATAATGGTAAAGTTTGCAATTTTTGTTGCATACATTTACAAATGTCTGTGTGTGTTGTTGTTGTTGTGGAACTCTCCCGTTACTTTTGTCCCGTGCAGGATGCCGTACGAAGCAGTCGAGGTGAAAATCTCTAACACTGAGGGGCGTCGCCTTTCATCTGTGACAAATAACTCCTCCCCAAAAACAACACTGATAATATCAATAGAAAACAGAAACGGCACCCTCGTTATATATCGTATATACTTTTGTACATTTATATATAGATCGATTTATTTATTCAAATAGATTCTTTCCAGTTTCCTTGGCTTCCTGTGGGATGTTTGGGGTTTGAACGATGGATGGCGAATTGTGTTCTTTTGTTTCCCTTTCGTTTGTTTTTTTATTCTTTTTACAGGTTTTCTATTAGACATGTAAACCAGAACAGACAAAAAAGTAATAAGAAACAAAAATCATTGTTTAAAAAAGAAAGAGCAAGAGAAGAAGAGGGGCAAAAAAAAAAGAAATAGTTTTACAACAAACAACCACACACTGAGTACTGAAGACTACATTGGCTTACGGACAAGCCGATCAAATATTGATAAAAAGCCGATAAGCTATAATACAAGAAGAGACGCAGTTTTGGAGGGTTGGGACAGGAACCTGGGTTGGGACTATGGAGGACTGGGAGGACTGGGAGGACTGGGACAGGGGCTGGTCTCGCTAAATCGAAGCGTCTACTCCAGAACACGCCGTCTACTTACAGGTCAGCATACAGTACATTAAATACAGTTTATTTTTTTGTTTTATTTTTTATCCAAAAAATACTTTTTTTAACCTTTTTATCTTTTTTTAAATTCCCAGGTCTGGTAAAAAACCCGACTGCATAGAAGCTAACCGCTAACAACAGGTTCCCTAAGCTTGCATCCTATTAAAGACCAGGAAACGTCTTCCTCCATGATATGGACTCTAAGAAAGGCACGTCGGTTCAACTGTCAGTGTTCAGATTGCATCTGTGGGGGTAAGGCCAGTTCAGTCCAGTCACTGGGTGGATTGGTCAGACTGGGGTGAAAGGAGGCTTCAGACTGGGAAATGTGAGTTCTGAGCGGATCGTTGCTGATGATCTCAGTTACTGGAGAAACTTTTTCTACTTTTACTTGAGTAAAATGAAAACCAAAATGTTTTAACTAAAACCAGAAACACCTGGACTTTCTCTTAAAGTTTCAAGAGTTTTTTCCCTTAAACTCATTTGGAAAAAATTTATTTTGTTTCTTTTTGCTGCTCATATAAATTATTGTCATTTTGTTCCCTAAAATACTAAATATCCACTTAATTTTATATTTTGGCTCAACTGAAAGTTCTTGAAGCGAATGCTGCTGTTGGCAGGAAAGATCTCCTGTAGCAGTCTGTGTTACAGTGAACCTCAAGACGCCTCTGACTGAAGACAGTCTGATGTCATTTTCAAATATTAAATAATTGATAATTTCATCAGTTACTCAGTATTAAACGTCTTTGCCAAATATTTTTGTACTTTGGTTGAATGAAAACAACAATATTATCGTTTATCACAATAACTTCTGATCGTCCAGGAATATTTATTATCGTGACCGTCGTCATGATTTTTTGTTCATGTTGAATTTAGTTTGAATTTCTTGTTTAACTGCCTCTCTGGAACAGGAAGTAAAGATTTCCACTTCCTGCTCTGACCTCAGGCTGCTGGTGAAAATCCTCCCTGGTTCTGAACTTTGACGCCCTGCGGTGGCGGCCATCTTGAAGCCCCCTTTCACTGGTGTCGGAGCGCGGGCAGGATTGGGATCGGAGCGGGAATCGCTGTGGCGATCGTTCCCTGGGCCTCCTCTGACCCTCGCGTCGTGTTTCCGTGTCGGAGCTCTTGATTCAAGTAGCGAGGCTCGAGGAATGTGATTCGCTTTGCTGTCCAGTCCAAGTTTCCCTTCATCTCTCCATGATTTGTCGAGCTAAGCTAGCGTTAGCGCTGTTTGGTCTGCTCAGTGCCTCCTCGCTCTGTCCGGCCGTTTGTCGCTGATTCCCGAGCGTTTTTTTACTTTTACAGAAACATGATGAGTTTGCAGGTTTGGAGAGAAGCACCTAAGCGCTCCTGCGGGTGCCGGTTTGTCTTCTTCCTAAGCTTTCCTGGGGAAGTTTGAGGGAGTTTTTTGTCAGAATCCTCTCTGTGTGCGTCTATCCGAGAGGAGGTGAGGCACAGCTTCATCCACAGTGCGGCGCTAGAGTGCCGTGTCGAGGCTGCGTTCAACCGCTGCGCAAATGTTGCGTTAAAAAACAAGAATCTCTTTAAACACTTTGTGATATGTTTGCTCCCTCCTGAACCCCAACCTTCCTCGCTGCCCGACTCAAGTTTTTAAACTTTTTCTGTTTTCTTACACACATATATATATATATATTTACTATATATATTTATATAGAGCCTTTTTGTCCTGGGAATGCTGATAAAACACGTAGCACAAGAGTTCCTGGGCGGATCCAAAGAAATTTGTCCGTTGTCGTTTCGAAACGTCCGGAAAGCAACGAATGCGATTCTGAAGTCCGATTTTCTCGACTGAAGAAGAAGAAGAAGAAGAAATGGCAGCGAAGAGGAGACGACAGATCACAGAGGAGACGAAGGCGGATCTGACCCGGAGGAACTACTTGGTCGGGCTGGAGCGAGAGGCGGCGCCTGATTGGTTGGAGGAGAACGCCGTCAGAGGAAGTGGTCACTCATCATCCTGATGAACTCTGGCACCTTGGACCTGCGGAAGAAACGGAAACCGGGTCAGAAGAGGCGACTTTACGAGACGCTACGCCAGGGGTGTCCAAGGTGAGGCGCGGGGGCCACATGCAGCCGCCTGCGGTCACCTGAAAGGTCCAGATTTGGAAAAACTCCCAGAACTTTTCAAAACAAAAAGCGTTTTTCTTTTTTCAGTCGTATTTTTTCCTTTTTTTATATCTCAGTAATCTCGTGTCCCCTCTCGGGTCCCCGACCCGTACGTTGGGAACCGCTGTTCTAGGCTGTCAAAACTTTTTCTCATATTTGTGGTAAATTGTTTTTTTCTGCTTTGTTTCATGAAAATGTTGCAACTTTAATTTCCTGCCGACGAGTTAGAAAAGACAAAAAAAAAAAACCACAGAAGAAGAATCCGGCGTCTTTCTACAGTAAAGAAAAGTCAAAAGTTATTCAGCAGCAACTCCTTCAGTTCATCTAGGAGAGAAAAACAATTCAAAAGTAAAAATCTGTTTTCAAGTGGAAAAGGAAATAGAGTTAGAGGCAGTTCAGCCAATCAGAGACGTTTTTATTGAATGATTATAAATTAAAAGTGAATTGTTGCCGTCGATTGAAAATCAAACCAGGAAGTTTCATTCCTGCTTCCAGCCTGGAAGAACGTGTAGCTATATTTATATTTATCATATTTTAGTTTCACAGCAAACTTAAAACCAAAATTTGATATAAAAACCAGTTTTCAGCAGTTAAAATCCCTTTTCAATCAAATGTTTCTAATGATTCTGTTTTTTTTTAATCTTCACTTTTTATTTCTAATGCTTTTTAAAGTTTCTGCAAATATTTGACTCAACAGTTTTTGACAATTTTCAGTAAAAATTTAATTTTTTTATCAGTTTTTTTCTTGAATCCTGAAAGTATGAATAATTTTCTGCTGTTCACTTCAACTTGTTCAGCATTCAGTGTTTATTTGTGATTTTGTATGAAATGTTCATTTTCCTGGTTCATCGTTTTATTTCCTGTTTAATCCTGAAAACGTGAAGCTGAATAATCGAAGCCAAACGATGAGAAATGAGTTTTTTGGCCTGAAATTTAGGAAGCTGATGATCTGAGTTAAAGATACGACAGCAGGTTAGTGCAGAAGTGAAATCTTCTGACCATTCAGGGGGAGGAGAGTTTGCTGCGGTTTACATTTGTCCCATGGGGTTTGGTCCATCGCCCATGGCGGCGGCGGCGGCGTGGTGGGCGGCGGCCAGCGAGAGGGGCGTCCCATCGGACGTGACGGTGACCTTCTCCTCTTCGCGGCGCTTCAGACAAGCCGCCTTGGGGTTCAGGTTCCTCTCTGGACACAAGAACAACGAAAATCATTCGTCTTCTGATGATTTCCAAAACTTTCTTCTATACGGAAGAGGATTAGTGCCACCAAACAAAAAAAATATGACTTCTCAAAATTTTTACCGGACCCTCAAAATTCTGACTTTCCTCAAAATTCTTTTAAATTCAATCTCAAAATTCTGACTTTTTTTTATCTAAGAAAAAAATCTGAATTTAATTTTTTTATCGAGTTTCAGAATTCCACATTTTTTTCTCAGAATCTTTACTCCAAACTCAAAATTCTGACTTAAACTCTTTTACTTTCTTCTAAATTTTGACTTTAATTTCAGAATTCAGATTTTTCTCTCTGAATTATCAGTTTAAAAACATAATTCTGACTTATCAGAAAATGAGTCAAAATTCTAAAACAGACCAAACAAAAAACTATTTTTTTATCATGTTGATCACAAATGATCTATCTTGTGTAAATAGCAAACTGAAGCAACAGGTGTTGCTGCTGCTGCCCCCTGCTGGCCCAGCCTGTCAGTGCAGGCTCCAGGTCGTGGTGCTGACCTCTGACTTGCTGCTCCAGACTCAGGATGACGGCGACGGCCTGGTGCAGGATCAGCAGCTTGGTCTGCGGCTTGTCGCTCTTCAGGTGGAGCTGCACCATCCTGCCCAGCTCCTTGAACGCCTCGTTGATGTCGCGGACGCGCAGCCGCTCCCGGGCGTTGTTGGCCATCCTGCGCTCTCGCTCCCGCTCCATCTTCTGCTCCGGACTCAGATCCTCGTCGTTGTTGCTGGAGTGACGAAGGAGGAGCAGCGAGGGAGGAAGAGGAGAACCGGGAGGGAGGCAGCAGATTTCAGGATAGAAGGTCAGTTTACATTGACACGGTTTGTGCAGGTTCCACCAACGCAAACATAAGACTTTTAAGACCTTTATGAATAAAATTTAAGACCAATGTCACAACAGAGAAGTTCAAAAGAAATGCAGGGGAACAAAACCAAATCTTTTGGGTTGTTTTGGGCTCTCGGCATCAACTTTGTTCTTCTCACGTGGCGTAGAGCTAGCTAGCAAGCTAGCTAGTAAGCTAGCTAGTTAATTAGCTAGTAAATTAGCTAGTTACTTAGCTAGAAATCTAGCTAGTTAATTAGCTAGTAAGCTAGCTAGTTAATTAGCTAGTAAGCTAGCTAGTTTCTTAGCTAGAAAGCTAGCTAGTTAATTAGCTAGTAAACTAGCTAGTTAATTAGCTAGAAAGCTAGCTAGTTAATTAGCTAAAAAGCTAGCTAGTTAATTAGCTATCAAGGATTAGCTTGTTACGGTTAGCTTTAGCCACCTTGAGTCATCAAACCCAGTGGCTCCAAAAACCTACATAGAAGATATGAATTTCTTGCTATGACAAAATTTAGCAGGAGATTCATGTATTTTAGGCCAAATTTTAAAAAAATGAATTTAGGAAAGTCTTGCATAAAAAGTAAAAAGTTCATAAATTATATATAAATCATCAGCTATAGCAGGACTTCGAAACAATCCAGCTAATGACGAAAACAAACTAACAGTGTCTCCGAGTCTTTTGGCCTTTTATGGTGATATTCTCTCATAATAGAGGAAAGAATATTGAGAAATTTCTTCAAATATTTCTAAAGTAGGTTTAGAAAAATCATTGATTGCCAAAAACATTCTGAAAATCTGTGAAATCCTGTAGATAGACATATTTATATAGAGAGGTCAATGGGGAACAATATGAATATGAATATTGGCCCAAAGTTTAAATAAATCAATTCTTTGATTTTGAACAAACTAAATCAAAGCAGAAAACATTTTCAACATTAAAACATCATCATCATCATCATCATCATCATCATCATCATCATCATCATCATCATCATCATCATCATCACATTAAACATGGCCGCCACCATCGGTATAAACTCAGGGTTCAGGATCCAAATGTTTCAGATCTGGTCGTCCTCCAGGTCAACAAAGGAACCAGATAAACGTTTCGTTTATCTCTGGAGGAGCGAAGCCGACCGGCCGCAGCCGGGCCGGGTCGCCGTGCGGTCGGCTTCCCGCCCAGGGCGCAGCGGGCGGCGTTGGTTGGGAATATGAACGGAGGGCTCTACTCTGTTGTGTGAGAAGCAGCTGAATCCAGGCTCAAGACCGTGGAGAGACACCAAGTTACCCAGCAGCTGCTCTTCCACTCAGATCCGCCTCCCGTCCTTAAAGCCGCAGCAACTTTCAGGAAAAATATCCAGTTTAATATGAGACAGATAATCTGTGAAAAAATCCACCTTCTCTCTAAGCTCGAACTGTCATCGGAAGATACAGCCAATCAGAGCCAGGAGGCGGGGCTTAGCGCTGTCAATCATCGTCGTTATTGCGCTCCTTAATATCCGAATGCCGGAGAAACAACTTACTGTTACTGAGAAACTGTTTTAACCGCTGCTGTCATGGGTGGCTATGCTAACTAGCTTTAGCATTCACAACATGTGAGGAGATCGGTCGTTTCTCAGATTATCTGTCTCAAACGTAGCAACAGTCAACAAATATGTAAAACATATTTTTAATGAAAGTCACTACCTGAACTTCTACAAGCTGCCAGTAGAGGGAGCACTAAGAGGCGGACGCCTGGTGGAGGCAGGAAGTCTCTGAGGTTTTCAGCTGATTCTCATCACACTTGATCACTTCATCAAAGTTCAGAGGCTGGTTCCCAGCGTACCCCCACCCGGCGGAGCGCCCTGGGCGCGCCGCCGGGGTGGGGGTACGCTGGAAGACGTGCGTCCCAGGCCAGCTGAGGGGTTTGATGGAAGCGAACGTCTGGGCGTGTGGGGGGTTACCTAGATCTTGACCTCTCTATGGCCTTGAGCTCCTTGTCCAGGTCGTCCTTCTTGTCCAGCGGCTTGGTGTCCTGCAGCAGGTTCTCGTCTCCCTCGTCCTCAGACTTGATCTCTGAGCTCACTGAGGACGTGCTCTGACCCTGGAGGCCGCCGGACAGGGCTGCAGGGGGAAAACAGGGGTCAAAAGTCAAATGGAACAAACTGGGGAGAAACTAACCTCATCCTCAGTACTTCAAACGAAAGATTAACTGATGACACCATGCAACTGCTGCTGATTATCCAGCAGAATCCAACCAACCAACCAACCAACCAACCAACCAACCAACCAACCAACCAACCAACCAACCAACCAACCAACCAACCAACCAACCAACCAACCAACCAACCAACCAACCAACCAACCAACCACCCACCCACCCATCCAACCAACCAACCAACCAACCAACCAACCAACCAACCAACCAACCAACCAACCAACCAACCAACCACCCACCCACCCAACACCACCCACCCACCCAACCAACCAACCACCAACCATCCAACCACCCAACCAACCAACCAACCATCCAACCATCCAACCAACCAACCAACCACCCAACCAAACAACCTCCCTCCTTCCATCACTAAGATTTTGTAACTTATTTTGTGACCCCGCTTGGTGTCTCATGACCCCTCTGGGGACCTTGACCCCTACTTTTGGACCCCCTGATTTAAACCATTAAAATAGCAGATTACTGTAATAATAATAATAGTATTGATGTTTGGACATTTCTCTCTGCGTTCAGTGATGACAGCTGCATCATTTCCAGCCAGTAATCTTCTAATAACGGGTCGGTACCTTGTGATCCGTCTCTCTACATGAACAGGTGATGAAGGTGAGTTTCCCTGTGAGGTTTGCCGCCTCGGCTGTTTATGAAGGGCTGCAGAATAAACGCGCGGCTCCTGGTTGTTCTGCCAGAGCCCAGCGTTTCTTCTCCTCTACCTCATTACCCAGCTGGCTGCGGTCGCCGCTGGATGAACTCTGCTGCCAGCGGACTCATTTTCAGCCTTATAAAAACAGCCCAGCTCAGGGCTAATTTGCTGCACACTGAGCTCAGACTGCCTTCCTCCTCAATATTCACTCTGCAGATTTGCTCGGCTTTTTAACGCTCTGGCAGTGAAATGCTCCTCAAATTTAGTCACAAAACTTTTAGACTCATTTTCAGCTTTGCTTGCAGCTGATTTCTTTATTTTCTGCATTGCTAAACAGGTTAGGAAGAAATGAAGGCAGTTTGGTTCATCAGGAAGAAATGCACTGAAATGTTTGATTTAAAAATGTTTTTGGAAACATTTAATGCTTCAGCATCATTTGCTCAGATGGATCCTGCCGGGTCGGACCGGCGCCGGGCCTTACCGCGGTACGGGTCGGGCTGGCTGAGGTCCGGTGAGGTCGCCGACTGGACCGGCAGCTGAGGAACCGACACCTGACCCCCATGGAGTGGCGCCGCGTAAACTGCCCACGCTGCCGCCATCTTCTCTGTGAGAGCCCACCTGCAGACAGACAGAGGAGAGCTGTCACATCCGGCCTGCAGAGGGCGCTGTGGCGAACCTGAACGCTGCAGGGAGCGGAGAACTTCACAGATCAAACATCACAGATCAAACATCACACAGATCAAACATCACAGATTAAACATCATAGATCAAACATCACAGATCAAACATTACAGATCAAACATCACAGATCAAACATTACAGATTAAAAATTACAGGATGTTTACATTGATGTTTTTCTCCAGTTATGGTGAATTTACTGGATTAAACTGGATTAAAATAAAAAACACCTGGATTATGGAAAGTGTAAATTTAGGAATTAAATATTTTTAATAATCTTAAATTTGACTTTTCATGCTAAATCTGTTGGATTAAACAAAAATTGGACTGAGTTGGTCTAATTTATTTTAATAAATATCATGTAATTGGAAATAAATTGGACTGGATGATGTGGACAAGCAAAATGCAGATTAATTTAGACCTGATTAATCTGGAGAGCAGAGATTATTTGTATTAATCTGGACTGTAAGTTTTGTAATTCATTGGATTAAATTAATCAGTTTAACACAAGAAGAAAATCATCTTTGAATTAAAGAAATAGGAAATACGAGTCTTTGGTGTTTGTTTGCACCTGAATAACTGAAGTTTTATTGTAAATTCATATTAAAATATTAAATGATTTTGATGTTTTTCTCATTATTCTGAAGAAATTTGATGTTATTAAACGTTTTAGATGACAGCAAAGGAAGAACTAGGATTTCTTTGATTATTACAAATGCAATTGTTTTACTATGAATTATCCTCCCTATAAAATTAATATTTCTAAATAAAGCATTTTTCCTAAAATTAATAGCTTAAAAGTGATTTTTATTCTTTTGTTTGCATCTTTTTCTGCTCGTCTGCAGATGTTGCAGTTCCGCCTGCGCCCAGCAGAGGGCACCGTCCATCTTTCTAACAGAACTTCTTCTTCAGGAGTTTCGGAGCCACCGCCGCGCTCCGTCTTCTCTTTATCAGTTTTTATGTCAAGTTCAGATTCAAATTCAAATTTAGACGTCAGAAATTTAAATTTCTTTTTGTTCTGGAAGTCTGGGGTTTTTGTTTTTCCCTGTTTTTCCCCAGGGGTGTGTGAGTAGTTTACTGAATCCTGTCCATCTGTCTCCACACACACACACACACACACACACACACACACACACACACACACACACACACACACACACACACACACACACACACACACACACAGAGCACAACTGACAATTATCTTAATGCCCATATGTTTAATTGTGGGATTTGTAATTCCCAGGGCTGCGCGCGGCTTCCAGCCGGGACTGGCGGCGTTGGCGCCGGATGGGTCCCGACTCGTTCTGCGTTCGGCTGATTGGGGTGCCAACGTCTGCGGGCGCCACGCGCCTCCAAACGCCCGCTCATTCAGCTTTGTTTTTAATTTGGGACGCTTCGGCAGGTCACTGGATCTGGACCGAGACGGAAAGTCCAAATTCGCCTGTTTTTTCTTTATTGTTTTTAAATATTTCAGATCAAACTAATTTTAATATCAGAGAAAGGATCATTCTCTGAGCTGCAAAAAGCTGTTTTGAAATAATGAAACTTGTGTTTCTCCTTCAGATTTAAATAAATCTGGATAAAAATCTGAAATTTCTTTCATTCCACATCAGATCCATTAATAAACAATAATGTTTCTTTCTCTTTTAAAAATCAAATTACAAAGACATTTTCCATGTTAGAGTTCTCTAATATTAATATTTATTCTTATATTTTGTTGTAAAGTTGACCTAAAAGTCTAAATAAATGAAGCTTCAACACAAGATGGCCGCCCTGGACGTGATGACATCACTCTGAACTATGGAAACTTGCTTGAGTTTTGGGGAACCTGATCGTTGGACTTTCTCCATCAGGATCTTCAGCAGAATCTGATGACAGCAAACAGGAAACGCCCTGAACCTGTCAGCTGGTTGTTCCACATTCGGCAGCAAAAACGGTTTTAGTTCAGCGATTCCTGCTCCATCTGCGTTTATCCAGTCCGGTCCGTTTGCCTAGAAAGTTCAGTTCGTACCAGAAAACCGAACTCTGGTTCGGTTACGATCCATATGTGAACGCCCAGCGTCCAGAGACCGCTCCAAAAACAAGAAGTTGACTCCAGCGCAGGGCATTCTGGGTAAATACAACCAAAACAAATGCTAGCTAGCCAACGCTAACCGGCTAAAGAAATCCATAAATCGCTAAAATCTGGTGAACGTGGTGGAGCAGGAAGTTGCTCTCAGCATCTTCAGAGGTTTTTGTGTTGCTTCCTTCAGTGGTTCTTGGTGCAGCGCCCCCACAGGCCGGGAGGGGAACCGGCTGGTTTGGGTCAGAACCGCAGCAGCTGGACAGGAACAGATTGAGTCTCAACTGGACCATCAGGTGGGGAAATTTGCTTTTATACACTTTTAGTCCAGACTTTGGAAAAGTGGAGAATCAAATTCGTGTGGTTCTTGAACTGCAGTCGGGGCCACATGAAATCATTCTCAGGGTCCCAAATGGCCCCCGGGCCACAGTTTGGACACCCCAGGCTAACCTGCGGTGAATTGATGTGGATACAACAAAAAACTTTGATGTAAAGAAATCTGAACTGATTTCAGTTGCAGAGAAAGAAAGACTTTGATTTTACTGAATTATTATTTTATTCAAACTGGAGAAACTTTATGAAACTGAATCGGCTTCCAAACCTTCTGGATGAATTTATTTAAATCGGATTTCTTTTAACATAACTGCATTATGTTTATGTATGAACCCGGTCCGGTTAATCCGGTCCTGTTCGGATACCTTCAGTTTGCTGATGTGCTGTGGAGTAAATAAAGTGATTCTGGGAATCAAATCCCAGAGTGCCGGTTAATCCAGCTGGCTGACGGCAGCTCCTGCCCACCACATGCCAAACTCCCCGCTCTCTCGCTCGCTCGCTCGCTTCATGCAAATATCACAAAATGTCGCCGGCGCTCGGCGGCGTGTGCGCTCCTTCCTCGACCTCCTTCTTCTCGCTCCTTTGTTTATTACTTGCAGCTCCGTCGTTTGCTCTGCCTTTCATCGCCGCCTGGGTTCCCAAATGCAAAATGGCAGCAGGGAGGCAGGCAGACAGGGCGGCGTACATTTTTAATGGAGGGTTTTTATATTTTAAGAAGCCGTCCGTCATTTAGCTCAACTAGGAGGCGCAGACAGAGAAGGAAAATATAAATAAGTGAGAAATGAGCCGATGCCACGCCCAGTTTCCCACCTGATCAAACTGCCTCATGGAAACATGGACCAACACACACTTAGGAAAGTCCCAGGTTCTTTGAATGGATCACCAGAGGGAGTTATCAATCATGAAAAAATGTATTTAAACAGCAAAAGGCTTCATTTTACTGAACAATTATTACCTTTTTGTCACTACGTGTTTCACAAAAACAGCCTAAAAGACAAATTAATGAATCCATAAATGTTTATTTTCCAGTAGTTCTGTTGAATATCAAATATATATTACTTCCCCATGAAGTAAATTTTCATTTCTGATGTGAGAAACTTTAACTGGACGGCTGATAAACAAGAATCAAATTTATCTGCAGAATCAAGATGTTGAAAACTTTAACATGTATCCTCAGCGCTCCTCATCATTTCTCCTTATTTCCTTCATCCTATTTGGTTTTTCCACTGAGGGGAAATTCCAATAAAGCCGGTCGGGATAATAAAGATTCGCAGAGGAGGTGCTGAGTGGCTGTCATGTGTAATCCTGCTGATTGCTGCGATCGTCGCAGAGAGAGAAGCGGCAGGACGAAGACGAAGGAGAGGAAAACGGAGAGGAATCTGTGACACACACATCCAGACAGATTCATCACGCGGCTGCAAACGGTAACGGACACGTCGGCTCCCGAACTGCAGCCACGCCACCGACAGCAGAAATGTTTCACCAACTCCGCAAATTGTAATATTTCATCTCATATTAGCCGGATATCTGCAATTTCCAATTGTCGTTTCCAATTATCTCAGATGAAGCACATTTGGCCACAAAAAAGGAGAAGTGGAGGAAATGAAAGTGGAAGTATAATCTGAGATAAACAAAGACTGTTTAGACTCGGCGCGGCTCGACCCGACAACACTCTGGGAAACTCAGCCGATCTGCTACGTCTGCAGGAAATCTGCGATTTTAGAGATGAAAACCGTCGGGACGGCGACAAACCTCGGCTCAAGGTTTTCTACATTCAACAACTTTCTTCAGTTTTGAAGTTTGTTGGGTTTCAGAAGCTGCTCTGTGTCCTTCATCATGTCAGATCCACTCAAAACATGCAAATCCTTCTGACAGCACAGCCTGAAAAAGCCTTAAAGAAGCGTGGCAAAAGCAAAGGAGGTGGATCAGCCTGGTTCCATCCACGGCTAACGCAGACAGGCTATCTGCACACAGATATTAATCTGCTCCAACTTCATGACCATCATGAGACGGTCTTCAGTCAGAGGCGTCTTGAGATTCGTTGTGAAACTGACTGCTACTGGAGCTGCTTCCTGCCCACAGCATCAACATCCACTGGGTTTCCCCCAGAGTACTGGTTCAGCTGGTGATTGGCCAGTCAGTCATCAGCGACTGAGTTTAAAAATGTTGACAGAAAATATCACCTGACAATAATATTGGAAGATGGAAGATTAATGGCTGGAAGTCTTAAACATGGAAACATTTTAAAAAGACTCAAATAAAGTAGCAAAGCTGAGCCTGGTGGCCCGCCAGGCTGATAATACTCTGGTAGAAACTCTCTGGAGATCTGAGCTGGATGATCTGAGTTACGACAACATTTGATTCCTGTTGGGATGAACAGAGAACTCTGAACTGAACTGTTCAACAGAACAGAAACATTCTCTATTTCTGTTTCATGAGTTTGTTAATATTCAACTCTTAATAAACCGCAGCCTCTCAAATATCCTCCAGTTTTCAAATAATAATAATACAAACCAATTTATTCCTTCGTCACATCATGTGG